GAAGAATTATTTTCACAATATTTTCTACAGTTTATAACGAAGCGTGAAATTTCGAGAGAATCACAGCAAGTGGATAATTTCTCAAACTTTCAATCAGAAATCTTTCAATCGCGAGTCGAGTTCAAAAGAGAAAAACGAAGACGAAGAGAAAAAAGGAAAAGCGTCCCGCACATGGCTCAGACAGCGTCATTGCTTTGGAACTTACGCGATATTACGTAATAAATCACCCACCGGCTTGCTTACTCGAATTGTCATACAATATGAATGCAGCAAGGCGAAATACTGCAGAAGCATCGATTTCCACGTTCCCGCCCGCCGACAAGCGTACTTTGCCTTTAGCTGCTGCTGCTGTTCTTGTTGTTCTTCTTCTATTTTCTTGCTATATCTTTTTTCGACCCGCATTCACTATTCTCTCTACACCGACTCGTACTCGATTTTTTCTGTTCACCATTGCCCACGATTGTCTCCAAGAAACTGATTCTCTGTATATCGAAGTCTTTACTCGTGTTTTCTTTTTTCCTCTCATTCTTTTTTCTTCTTTCGTAATTCCTCCTCTATTATTTTCATTGGAAAATAAGAGAGAGAGATAGAGAGAGAGGCAGAGACAGACAGAGACAGAGATAGAGAGAGCCTGTATAGCAGCGCAAATTAAGTTAGAGATTTGGCCGACACACTGCTTGTCTTGATGTCTTCTCTCATTTTACCATACATTTTTGCCCAAAGGTAATAATTTTTGACTTTCATAAATATATGAGCAAAATAAATAGTGCGTGTACTCATACACTTAAAATAGTGTATGGACCGCCAATAAATACCGTGGTTTGTAACTGACTGGGAAGCATTTTATCGCTGCGTCAGCTGCATGCACCTCTGCATAAAGCTCTTCTTCGCATGTTTTTTGCACTCGTGGCTGCAAATTATTCCAGAATGTTGGCGCGAAGCAGTTAAAAATTAATGAATCAATACTTAGTCAATAGTATATTACTGCCCTAGGCCGCGAAAAACAGAAAAGTCCCAGAGTACGTGTAATTAGTGGCCGAATCCGATAAACACGTGCTCTGGAGCTTTCTTTTTTCGCGGCATAAGCCTGTATACTATTTTTCATACACAGTGGCCCGAAAATCGCTCTTCCTGCTTTGCGCAACGGCAGGGAAGTAGTCACTTTCGGGCCGCTGGTATGAAAATAAAAAATCACCCCTGCTATATACCTTACGTGCAAATACAGCAGCTCACATTATTCACTATTGGGAATTTGTGCAATATCAGATAATAACCGTACTAGCCTTCTGGTGTTATTAGTTCACTTTACACAGAAAGAAACACTGACGCTCTTATCCCCTTCTATCAGGCGCGTAGTGCTCCTCATGCGTTTGGTGGGAAGCCGTCCGGATTTTGTAGCAGTGTGACTCTGAGATAGGCGCGATCCGGTGATCGGTCCCAACTTATTTTACCCAAATAATTTTTGAAAGTTGTGAAATAAAAGATTTTATACCCCAAGTTTTTAAATATCCTTCTGAATGTGTTTTTTAATATATAAGGGTCAAAATAATATTTTTTTACAAAACCGTGAGTACGTATATCACTGATCTGCATGCACTTATGGTATGTTATAGGATATGGTAAAAAGCTCCCAAAACCAAAATTTTAGACCCCCCTTCGCGCTTATCTATTGATAGTGCGTAGAGCATCTCCTTCTACACACGCAAATAATTGCTGGAGTTTGAGTGTCAGCGTAAGTGTCGGTGCGTCCGTGACCATGGACGTAAACAATGTCTTGAAAATATTCCAAACTGAGAAAAATGTTTAACTTTAGCTCAGAGAAACCAGTTCTGTTGGGACAACAGAAACCAGTTCTGTTGGGACAACAGAAACTGGTTCACTTGTGATAAGTGAAAATTCTCCTTGTCACAGGGAGAATCTCAAATGGCTATAATGAATATGCGCGGTTATGAGTTCGAAAACGTAAGGGCACTACTGGATTGACGTCTGCATGACGGTTGAAACGTACGGATGGTAGTATATATGGCCGATTCTCTGTCAAGTCGAATGGCCCAAAACATTTTTTTTCTGCAAATATGAAAAACTAGTTGTATTTGATGTCAGATTTGTCCAAAAAATTTTTAGAAAAATTGGGGCCTTCTATGACACTTTATCAGAGGCCCAAAGTTGGCCATTTTAAGGTTTTTTTGAAATTCATGAAAAATCACAAATATTCAAATAATTCCGGAATCAGTGTAGAGTGATTCAGAAGTAAAAGTGCCTAGCAACTTTTTTGTTGGAAATTGTCCAAATTTTCAGAAAAAAAATATGCCAAAGTGATTGGAGGTATATAGTAAAGTGAAAAGCTCTCAAAAGTTGAAAAAAAACACAAAACAAGAAATCTACTCTAGTTCGAACCGGACTTTCATTTCCTAAACTATGTAAAAAGCTTCCAAAAGATGTCAAGTACGGCCTGATAAAGTTTTGTAATGGGTCTTAAAGTTTAACGCAATGTAGACAACAATGTGTGGCGAAAAACATGCAAAAAAGGTCAAAAATAGGCCCAAAATGCCTAAAATCACCAAAAACAGCCATTTTCAGGCCTTTTTTGCATGTTTTTCGCCACACATTGTTGTCTACATTGCGTTAAACTTTAAGACCCATTACAAAACTTTATCAGGCATTAGTTGACATCTTTGGGAAGCTTTTTACATAGTTTAGGAAATGAAAGTCCGGTTCGAACTAGAGTAGATTTCTTGTTTTGTGTTTTTTTTCAACTTTTGAGAGCTTTTCACTTTACTATATACCTCCAATCACTTTGGCATACTTTTTTTTCTGAAAATTTGGACAATTTCCAACAAAAAAGTTGCTAGGCACTTTTACTTCTGAATCACTCTACACTGATTCCGGAATTATTTGAATATTTGTGATTTTTCATGAATTTCAAAAAAACCTTAAAATGGCCAACTTTGGGCCTCTGATAAAGTGTCATAGAAGGCCCCAATTTTTCTAAAAATTTTTTGGACAAATCTGACATCAAATACAACTAGTTTTTCATATTTGCAGAAAAAAAATGTTTTGGGCCATTCGACTTGACAGAGAATCGGCCATATATATAAGCAACAGCGGTAGCAGCAGCAGTTTAATGTATGTATATTCATGCAGATATATATAAATATAAGTAGAATACTTTTTGATTTTATGTTTTTTTTTCACTATTTTACTCTGTTCGAAAAAAGTCTTCTTTACGTAGTAAGATTGTCATGGTTACATGGTAACTTTGAATCTTCTATTTCATATTATCTTTTCTCACTATATTAGTGTGAAGATTGGCCTCGATGTTCGGAACGCGTTCAACTCGGCGCGGTGGAACAACATCCTCGCTGCGCTCGAGCGAATCCGCACGCCTGAGTACCTGCAGAAGATCATTTACAGCTACTTTCAAGCCAGAGTGCTGGAATATGATATTGCTGATGGCCCAGAGTTCTGCAGCATCACGGCTGGCGTTCCGCAAGGCTCGGTCCTCGGCCCTATCCTGTGGAACGTAATGTACGACATCATCTTGCGCCTGAGACTGGATGAAGGGGTGCGCGTGGTCGGCTTCGCGGATGACATCGCCGTGGTTGCCGTGGCAGGGACGACGTACGAGGTTGAGGATCTTCTCAGCTGCGCCATCGCAAGGGTACGTGACGCGCTGTGGGGGCTGGGCCTCGAGACGGCAGACCATAAGACGGAGGCCCTGCTAATATCAAGGAAGAGGAGGTTGGAGACCATCACCATGAAGTAGGCGACTGCTTCATTGCCTCCTCTCCTTGCATCCGCTACCTGTGCCTACAACTGGATGCGAGGTTGACATACAACGACCACCTCAGAGTGGCCAGCGAGAAGGCTTCGAGGGTGGCGGGAGTCCTCTCGCAGATCATGCCGATCATCGGTGGCCCCAGGAGCAGCCAGAGGCGGCTCTATGCCAATGTCATTGACTCGATCCTTCTCTGCGGCGCCCCTATCTGGAGTCGAGGTACCGGAACACTGGTTGGCATGCGTCGGGTGGAAGCGATCCATCGGCGAGCCTGCCTACGCGTCATCAGTAGTCGCTCGCACATCTCGTACGAGGCTACCTACGTCCTCGCCAGCATACTAGCAGAAGAGCGTAGCCGGCTCTACCAGCGCCGCCACGAGGACGCGAGAGCCGAAGAACGCCAGGAGACACTGAGAAGATGGCAGAGCCGGTGGGATCGCTCGCCAAAAGGATGATGGACGCACGGACTGATTCCGAATATCAGAGTGTGGATAGACAGGAGACACGGAGAGGTAGACTACCACCTTACGCAGCTCCTGACAGGCCACGGCTATTTCAAACACCACAGCCAACGCTACGATCACAACGCTAGCGCAGATTGCCCAGCCTGTCCCCACACGGTCGAAAAAGTGGAGCACGTTTTCTTCAACTGCTCTCGATTTGCGGAGGGAAGAGAGAGGCTCCATTGCTAGCTCCAAGAAGTTGCCAGGCCTGAAAACATAGTCCAGCTCATGCTAGCAGACGAAAAAAACTGGTTGGCGGTAGCCACCTTCGCCCATTCAATCATAGCAAGTCTGAGAGCCGAAGAGATGGCCAGAAGAAGATGACCGGACGATGCGGCATGAAGAAGACGCAACAACAACCAGTGCAAACGTGATGAGCTTGCTGCACCAGCCCAGCCTTTCCCCACGAAGTAGTGCCCAACGGCGGTTCCGCGGGGGTTAAACAGGGGCAGAAGGAGAAGTCGATGGGCCACAACATCTATATGTTTCTATATTTTTTCTATTCTAACTCCATCCACCTTACATGAAATACAGGCAAACCCCGTTATTCGCGGGGGTTCGGTTCCAAAAAAGTACCGCGAATACCGAATCCGCGAATACCGAAGCATTGTTCTTATGGGAAAAGGGGGGTTCGGTTCCTCGTCCGACTGAAATGTCAATATACATATTAGTAAAAAAATTTTTTATGAGAAAAAATTGAAGTTTTGATCAATATTTTTTTATTTTGCAGTAAAATATTGAGTCAAACTTTTTTGTTTTGCTCTGCGCAATAGATCTTTGTACAAGTTTTTATAACACTCTAATGATTTTTCGATATCTTGTCTAAATTGAAGGCTTCGAGTCATGATTGGGTCGTAATTTAATGCTCGTTCGATGAGACGCTCTGCATCAGCCAAAATATTTCCAACTACTTTCGCAGTAAGAACAGGCTCGGGTTCTTCATCTGCAATCATTTCTTCTTCAGCTGCTGTATTTTGCACGATTGCATCAATCTCGTCGACGCTTAAAACTTCAGTTGACGCTACCAAATCAAGAAGCTCGGATTCTTGCAAGTCACTGAAACCTTCTCCACCAACACTTCTTGCAATGTTAACAGCTTCACGTATCACTTGCTCTTGCTCATGACCTTGAATTTCAGACACTTGATTTTTCTCAACTAGTTCCGGTAAAAGGTTGTTCCATCCATTATTCAAAGTTGTACTTTTGATCATTCTCCAACTTTCATCAACAATAGATATTGAGTGAGCGATGTTAAAATTTTTCCAAAATTGTTTAACATAATCTTCAGATGTAGATTGATGCAAGCTATTTAAAATGTTACGTAAAACTCCCTTGATGTAGTATGATTTAAATGTGGCAATTATCGACTGATCCATTGGCTGAATAAGAGAAGTGGTGTTTGGTGGCAAAAATAAAATTTCGACATCTGGATTTGACGTCATCAAAGCGTCTGGATGAGCAGCGCAGTTATCGAGCAACAACAATACTTTAAAGGAAAGATTCTCTCGATTTAAGAATGCTCGGACTTCAGGTACAAAGGAGAGGGTAAACCAGTCGGTGAACGTTTTTGCTGTAACCCAAGCTGTTTTATTAGATTTCCAAAATACTGGAAGATGCTCTTTTTGTTTTCCTTTCAGAGCTCGAGGATTTTCTGCTCTGTAAACCAACATCGGTTTACACTTGAACGTGCCAGCAGCATTTGCACAGAAGAGCAGAGTGTATCTAAATAAATTGAGCCCCTTTAATAAAAAAAAAACATATTACATGTGCTGTTAATAACTACCTTTCTTTAGAAGATTTATATCCTGGAGCAGTTTTTTCTTCCTTCATTAAATAGGTCCGGTTTGGCATCCGTTTCCAAAAGAGTCCTGTTTCATCGCAGTTGAATATTTGCGCCGCGACGTAGCCCTTTTCAGCAATCAATGCTCGCACTTGATCCGGAAATTTACGAGCTGCCTCACGGTCTGCTGATGCTCTTTCCCCTGTAAACGAAACATTATGCAGAGAAAATCGGTGTCGAAATCTATCAAACCACCCCCGACTTGCTGCGAAAGTGTGGAAGGAAGAATTTGCGCTATTTCGTTGAATATGATTATAAAAATACTTAGCCTGTTCACGTATTATATCTCCACCAATAGGAATTTTTTTATGCATCAAATCCTGCAGCCAGATGATTAGCATGTCCTCCATTTTTTCCATGAGAGGTGAGCGACTTATCTTGCAATTTTCAGCATGTTTTCCTAAAGACTTCGCACTCTCCCGAATTTTGCTCTCGTTGTTGCGGATCGATCTTATTGTAGATTCATTGACGTTAAATCTTCGCGCTAGAAAAGCCACTTTTTCGCCCTCCTTCATGGCATCTAAAATTTTGATTTTTTCCACCAAATTCAGCACTTTTTTATTCCGCTTCGAAGGGCGATTCATAATTAAAAAAAAGTTTTTTAAATTTTTTAAAAAATTTATGCGCGAAAAAAAGGTTAACTTTGAGCGAGCGAAAAAACCGCGAATACGGAAACAAAATACCGCGAATACTGAAGTGAGGTCACAAACAGGGTTACCGCGAATACGGAAAATCGCGAATACCGAATCCGCGAATAACGGGGTTTGCCTGTATGTAGCAACGGAAAACTCAAAAATGTACCGAAATACATTTGATTTTAATAAACTGAGCCCATCGCTCCATTAAAAAAAAAAAAAAAAAAAAAAAAAAAAAAAAGTGTGAAGATTGGAAAAATTGTTTACTTCTTTACTAAAACCCAATATAAAAACTTTTAATGCTTTGAGTAGCACTAAAATTTCATTATATGCACGGTATTATAATAATTTTGAATAAATCACAGGTAGATGCAACTGTTTCATGCACAAATGCATACCACCAACGTATATAACACCAACCAGTGCCAGAGGCAGCTGCATTTGAGGGATACACAACAGCTACAGCTTCTATTGCTTTGAGTTTTATGTATCATTATTAGACTACTATTACTACTACTACTACTTCTACTGTAACATATTTCCATTTCGATTTTTTATTCGTTTCTTTTTGGTAGATTTGCAGCCGGCTTTTGACTGCGTTTCGTTTTAGATGTGGTGCTTTTACCCTTGGCTTTCATGGCTGCATAATCAAGCATAAATAAAATATTACCCGCTCATATATAATAAACGTGGTGAACATTATTTATTAACAGTAAGAAAAAGACAAATAAGAATGCTTAATTAATAATTGAACAATCAAACGAACTCCAAGAGTGAAGTTCGACTACGATTGTATGAGCGCCTCCTCCAAAAGATCAAAATGTAGTGTTCCCTCTCGTGACTTTAGACCACACTTACAAAGATATGAAAAAGTGAAGAATCCCAACGTCCGCTCGCGCTGCCGCTGGTGGCACGCAGCAGTCACTGTGGGATTTCGTCATTATACCAAAGTTGAGCCATAGATTCAAAGGGGGCTTATTCCAATGAATAAGGGTAAGTATTGGTTGGGACCTTGATCTTTTGGAGGAGGTGCTCATACAATCGTAATCGAACTTCACTCTTGGAATTCGTTCGATTGTTCAATTGTATTCTGCGCATATTACATTCAATACGCTACAGTCAAGTAAATGAGAATATTTTTAAAGAACAGAATTATTATAGTTATTATAACTACAGTGAAACCTCCTTTAACGTGATATACGCGATCCGACCTTAAGTCGGATCCGCGCCATTTCTGCGACATCACAGTCGGATCGGCGCCGCTTCCGCACTCCTCGAGCGCTTTGCTCGCCGAGTTCGGATCGCGCCTTTCCTCCATTTCCCGACGACAAGACCGCTGCGTGCGCTCCCCACCCCAGTTCCGCCGGCCAATGGCGCGTCGCCGCAGCGCGCTAGCATAAGTACAGCGCGCCCGGCCGGCGGAGCTCACTTGCGGTCGAGCTCTCGACCGCGACGCATCGGCAGCAAGCCCCTTGGCAATCCAAGGAGCTACTGCCTTCCCAGAGGGTCACTCGGCTAGGGACGTTGACGAATAAAGATTACTTCTTTTAAAACTTAAATCTTTGACTTGTCTTTCCTCCACCTACCCGCTCAAGGACGACCATTGGAACGACGACAAGCTGGGATCGACTTCTCCACGCCGCTACCTTCCAGATCTCGACGAGGCCTCTACAACAAAACAACAAATTGTCCTTTTCAGGACTCTCATTTTTCTTCGTTGCAAAACATCACAAGTCCCTTCGGACTTGTCACAACAACGTAAAGTTGCTCTTTTCAGGGCTACGATCGAACCGATCGAATTTCTATAAGTCTCCACGAGACGTTAAGAAATTCGATCAGGACGGACCTTCTCAGGACCACCTCTAAAATCTGATCAACTTCCTGACTGGCTTGGCCAGGAAAGATCGGACCAGTCTTTAAGACTAAAAACTTCGAACGCTAAAATCAACCAAGTGGTTTGCTACTTGGCTGATAGACTCTCGAACGCTAAAATCAGCCAAGTAGTTTGCTACTTGGCTGATAGATTCTCGAACGCTGAAATCAACCAAGTAGTTTGCTACTTGGCTGATAGATTCTTCTCGAATCAACTCAACTCCTCATCTGAGAAGTGGAGCCAAACGAGACTCGGCCATCCTTTTCAGGGCCACTCTCGAATTCGGCCACTTCACCACCGGGCGAGAGTTTTTTCGCCTTTCGAAACCTCCCCCCACTACCACACAGAAGCACTACCCGAAATGGATATAACATGCGGCAGGGCCGCCCGGCCGGCACTTCTTTTGCGATCGCAAAGCCGACAGCATGTCTCTCCGCGACGTAGCTGCCCGATTCATTCCTCTCAGCACTAGCAGCGACGAGGAAGAGCCACGTTACTCCCGTTTCGCCAGAGAACACCAGCTTGCTTCCATTGTCGTCGTGCCGCTGCGGAATACAGTCTTGCGGCCTACCAGACTCCCGGACAATCCCGCCTGCATTTGACAACAAACTCGCCCAACTCTCTGCGTGCCCGAGGCTCGTCTTCCGTAATTTGAGTCGCCGGGAAAGAGACAGCCGCTCAAGTTGCCCGGCCGAGCTCGCTCTCTCTCGCCGTACCTTCGGGAGCATCCACCGGTCCCGCCTCAACTCCTCAAACCGATCAAAGTACGTATTGAAGCACCGGTAGAATTTCCCGTCCGCCGACCGACAAGGCCACGAGCATCGACACCAGCGAGGAAAGCATCTCTCTCTCCGCGGCGACTCTTCGGCGAGCGCTTTCGAGAGAAGCCAGCAAATCCTCCACCTCCGGTTCAAGAGCCCATCGTCTTCGCCAAACAGCGCTCCAAACGAGACAAGCGGTCGAAGGCCCCATCCGACCGACGGCGAAACATAAGGCGAGCAGTTAAACTCCAGCAACAGTTCAAAACTCGTCAAGGACACAGCGGCCCGTAAATCGAAGAAACCAATCAGCCCTTTTCAGGGCTACCATACCTCTGAGACGTAAGGACAAGTCATAACAAACGGTCACCTCTTAATAGCGGTCAACCTCTCAATAACGGTCACTTCTCAAAGCCCCGGAAGAAATACATTGCTTTTTATGGAACTACCTCCTACCAAAAGCGGCCCCTCCCAAAAGCGGTCACCTCCCATTTCGGTCACTTATTTCATCTGATTTAACGGTCATTTGTTAATATCTCAGTTACTTTTCGTCTCTCTTTCGTTCAGTCTCAATAAACATTGTAAATATGTCTTGTAACAAAAGAAAACGTCTTTCTTTAAAAGACAAAATATATATTATTCAAGATTGTGAACAAGAAAAAATAAGCGGGAGAAAAGCTGCCGAAAGATTTAAACCAATTTTCGGAATTGGTAAAACTCAAATGACGAATATTCTCAATGAAAAAGCGAAACTATTGCTCCAATATGAACGAAATGGCGACGAAAATTCAAAAAAAAAGTTTCCCAAAACTGAAATGTCTGTGGTTGATGATGTTACGTACACCTGGTTATGCCAAATGAGAGCTAAATCAATGCCAATATCCGGACCAATGATACAACAAAAAGCCAAGGAAGTTGCAACTAAAAAAGGAATTGAAGGTTTCAGCGCATCTAATGGTTGGCTACAAAAATTTAGAAGGAGATAGGGGATTTCTTACAAGTCAATTTGTGGTGAAAGTAGATGTGTAGATGAGTCTGTTGTTGACAATTGGATGTCAAAGCTCAATGACATGTGAGCAGGTTGCAGTCTCGGAGACATTTACAATTTAGACGAGACGGGCTTATTTTTCAAAGCCATTCCAGACAAAACGATGTGTCTTCAAAATGAGAAATGCACCGGTGGAAAGCAATCGAAAGATAGAATAAAGGTAATGTTGTGCGTTAATTGTGTTGGAGAATTTGAAGAGACAATAGTGATAGGAAAGTTCGCAAAACCTCACTGTTTAAGACGCGTAGACATGAATACTCTTGGCGTTATTTGGAAAAGTAATTCAAAAGCGTGGATGACGTAAGACATCATGTCTTGTTATTTATCTTAACTGAATTTGAAAATTAAAAGAAAAAATCGAAACATTTTGTTATTTATGGATAATGCCCCATGTCATCCCCCAGAAATTTCGTTATCCAACATAACGATAAAATTTTTTCCTCCGAACACAACATTTGTGTCTCAACCTTTAGATCAAGGAATTATAAAAAATTTCAAAGTACAGTATAGGAAAAAACTGCTTAGTTCTCTCATAACGAAAATGGAGTACGCTAATACAGCATATGATGTAGCGAAATCATTGAACGTATTGGACGCAATTTTATGGATAAAATCAGCTAATCTTCCGAGTAGTCAGTAAAGTTTCCTGAATTTTAGGCTGAGCTGTATTCTTTTAGTCCATATATGTGTCCTCCAGGTGAGTCGACGATCCAAATGCATCCCAAGATATTTAACTTCATTAAATTGCGCCACTGGTGTTTTATTTATAAGTACAGTAGGGCACGTTGCCTTGCGAAGGGAGAAGGTAATTTGGGCCGACTTATTTTCATTGATCTTGATTCTCCAATTTTTAAACCATTCTACTACTGCAGATAGATGTTCTTGTAGGTTTGTGGAGGCGACAACTGGAAAGAGGTGAGCATTGCGAATCTCGCGTACCGAACACTGTAAGCGCGCGCGCACACACACACACACACACGCACGGACACACACACACACACACACACACACACACACACATACACGCACAGACAGGCGCGTGCGCCCATCAAAGTCAACAAAATTTCTTTGTTGCCAGCTCTCGCGCGTTTATCGCGCGCCTTTAACGCGTGTGATTGGTTTTTTTTTTCATCTTGTATCCATACGTTGCAGTTTTTCGCCGAGCAATTCGTTGATGTTTACATCATTTGCAAGAGAGAAG